TTAGTATAAGTATGTCCCATGCAATATTTAGGACATACTTACACTAAAAAATGATTTACTGTTTATCTGAAATTCAAATTTAACTGGGCATCCTGTAGTTTTATTAATAACTCTGGAAACCCTACTTGCCATTCAGGATTTATTTCCCCTTTCTCTGAGCAGGAAAGCCTGTGAAGTCTGTCTGTCCCTGTCTGTGTTACTCCCTGCTGGCCCCCAGCATCTAGTCCAGTGCCTGGAGCAGAGTGGGTATTCATTCAGTTTACTGAGCGAGTGGACAACTAAATGCCAGTCCTTCCCCAGCACTTCCTGTGGCCAACAAATCTCATTTCTGAAGACTGAACCTGAGAAGACTCATCTCTAGAGACTCTCACATCTGTTGTCTGCCCCTGCTCTCCTTCCTTTCCTATGACACCTGGGACCCAGCATGCTAGACCAGAAAAACCTCAAGGAGGACCTGATCCAACATGCTGACTTTACCAAAGGGGAAACTGAGGCTCCTGGAGCTTTCAACTACTGACAACGTACTGAGCGGTCCCTGAAGCCACTCATAGGACAAGTCCCTCCCTCTCTAGGTGCCCAGGTTATTATCCCCCATGCTGTGGGGATCTGCTTCGCATTATGGTTTAAATTTGGGCTCATGTTTTACGTGATATCCCACTATACCATGAAGACCCAATAAGAACAACCTCATCTTACTGATCTTGGCAGATCCAATGCCTGGCACAGAGCCAGTACTTGGTAAATATGAATGAATGATTCAATTAATAAATGAATCAATCAGTGAATCAATGAACCAATCAATGAATGAATGAGTAGAGCAGTTGTGCCACTTACCAGCAAAGGAGTTGTCTATAAAATGGGGAAAATGGGGACGACGACAGTTCTATTTGGCAGGGTTGACGTGAGAGTGAACGAGGTAGTATATCTAAGTTGTCTGGCTCTGGGCCTAGTACATCATCATTATTCAATAAATAGTCTATCTCATCATCACTGTTTTTGCTTTTTTGTTTCTTTGTCTTTAGAGTCAGGGTCTCACTCTGTTGCCCAGGCTGGAGTGCAGTGGCCTGGCCATAACTCACTAAAACCTCTAATTCCTGGGCTCAAGGGATCCTCCTGCTTTAGCTTCCTGATAGCTGGGCCCACTGGGGTGTGCCCTCTCGATCCAGAGAGGGGTCTTTCTATGTTGTCCAGGCTGATCTTGAACTCCTGGCCTTAAGCAAGCCTCCTGCCTCCAACTCCCAAAGTTCTGGGATTACAGGGGTGAGCCACTGTGCTCAGCCCACTGTGAATGTTTGAAAAGGTGAATTGGGGAATCCAGGAATAAGAAGCAACGTTGCATTGCACTTTAAAATCTAAACTCTCTACCATCCTCCAAGGTCCCGCAGGATCTGGCCCCTGCCCGCCTCTCTAACTTCCCTACCCCCTACTCTGCTTCTCCCTCTCCTTCTCTGTGTTTCAGCTACACTGATCTTTTTTCTGTTCCTCCAATGGGCTGAGCTCATTCCTACCCCCTGGCCTTTGCATTCTCTGTGCCGCCTGCTGGGACTGTGCTCCACATGTCTGGCCCCTTTGACCCTTCAGCTCTCTGTTCAGCATTATGTCTTCAATTGGCCTCCCTTTGCCAGGTCAAGAAATCCACCCTTCTTGTTCACTGCTGTAGCCCAGTGTCTAGAAGAGTGCCTAGCATGTAGAAGGCACTCTGTCATTGCTCCCTGAAAGAATGAATGACTCTGGGCTTTCCCCAGCTGGGCTTCTGATTTCTGGAATTTAATATAAATGGTTTGAACTGAAAGGCTTCTAAGTCCCCTTCTGCCTCTAATAATCTGAGGTTCTATGACATGGTTGTTTAGAACACTTAATATGCTGAAAATATAGGAAAGACAATGATTGTGCAGATGTCAGTCAATTGGTAACTGGAGTGCTCACGAGGGAAGTTCCAGGGCTGAGAACTCAGTGGGAAAGAGCATTCTGGTAGATTTAGTAGTATCTGCCTCCGATGCAAGTAAGGCCCCAGTATTTTCTTTCCCTGATAGAAGTGCATATTGCAAAACTCAACTCACTTCATGAAATGAATCTAAGTATGCCCCACACAGACTTGTGCTCGGGAATTCATCAGCATCCTCAGGGAATGACACAGAAAACTCATCTTGGCTAATGCCTCTTTAGAGATTTTGCTTAATCCTCAAATGCTAATTCCAGTAGAGGACTGCAGGCTTCTCTTAATTACTTTACCCTTCACCTGGTTTGAAACAGCTTTGCTGCTAATTATGACGTTGCCTATTTATTTAATCCCACTCCGAAGATGCAGAGCATCACACTTGGAATCTCTGGTTGTGGAAAGATTCTTGCAGACTCAGTTTTAGAAAAGCTCCGTGAATTGCCTCTGTGAAACACATTTCCACTCTTAGAACAGTATGAACTGTGCATGTTTGGGCTGGCCTATGTCCCAAGCAATGCTGACAGTCCAAAAACCTCACAGTGCTACCAGAAACAGAAAGGTGTATTCTTTTGAATGTAAGACAACAATTCAGGCTCTGTTTCCTCATTCAGACCACATGGACTGCAGTACAGATGGCTTTGGGGAAGAGTGTGGGGTGTGTGCTCCTCTATATTCCCAGAACTTTGAGCCATGCCCTCTTGGCCTGTGTTACTACTATTGATTTATCTGTGAGCTGGCCTGAGTCTTAGTAACGTGTATCCCCAGTGCTTGGCATAAGGCCTGACACACAGTGGGGCTTCCATTAAGATTTGTGGAATGGGGCTATACGGTGGGCTGGCTGTGTGGTGCTAGAACTGGATTATTTGAAAATAACGAATCCTTTTGTTCAATAACCTGGACCCAAGTCCCACCTTATTCAGGCTTCTCCAGGAGGCAGCAGAGATGAGGGCAGCTTTTTTTTTTTTTTTTTAAGAGATGGGGTCTTGCTCTTGCTCAGGCTGGTCTCAAACTCTTGAGCTCAAGTGATCCTCCTGCCTCAGCCTCCCAGAATGCTAGGATTACA